TGAAACATTTTTTTTTTCCGAACTTAAATGATATGTGGTGTACATAAAAAATATGTAACAAATAGTATTTGTGAAACATAATATTAGGTAAATTTGTAGTTGTATTAAATAATGGGCCAAAAATGTAAACCAAAAAGTAAAAGACCGAATTCGAATAAAAATTAAAAATCTGGGTTAAATCTGTAAATAAAGAAAAAGGTGGGGTGACTGAAGATGAATGAGGATGTTCATGAATTGGTTATTGTTAGTATTGTAATTGGTAAATTTAATTTAAGATCCTTTTTTGTGGAACTAACCAGTAAAAAAAGTTGGATCACAAGTTATTTAAATTCACACTATTTTACTGATGAAGGGGTATTTAGAATATTCATAATGTATTAGACCCAGTAATATTGATTAAAATGTCATGTCAATATTTTACTTTCCTACAAGTGTTGTTGAATTATGCAATTTATTGAACTTTATAAAATTTAGTAAAACAAGATTTTTTAAATGCATATCAATTTTATATAAAACAATAAATAAAGTTCAGCTAACAACTAGATTTTCAACGGTTAGTTAGGTTTTCAACTATCTACGTCAAACATAGTCAAACATATCTGACACTATCTTTTGAATCACAAATGAAACCAAGTATTGATGATTTATAAATTAATGTAGAAACTTGGGACTAGATTACGTAGATTTGTATCTGATACACTGGCCATTAAAGCTAAACCAAGAAGAATTCAAAGTCCCGATTCCAAAAGATTGTATAGCTGCAATCAATATCAAGGACGTTTGGGAAGGCATGGAGAAGTGTCAAAATCTTGGACTCGCCAAATCCATTGGTGTTAGCAATTTTGCTCCTCGAAAAATTGAAGAGATCCTTTCCTTTGCCAAAATTCCACCAGCTGTCAACCAAGTGATCATTTAATTATCAACTCTTTCTTCTCAATTTGAGTCATGATGTTTATAGCATATATATTTACTTGCTCAATGTTTTTTTTTTTTTTGTACTTTTTAAAGGTTGAGATGAATCCACTTTGGCAACAGAAAAAACTCAATGAATTTTGCAAAAAGAATGACATCCTTGTCACTGGTTACTCACCTTTAGGTGCATCTGGCACCAAATGGGGACACAATAGGGTCATGGAATGTGAAGTTCTTCAAGATATTGCCAAGTCTAAAGGGAAGACAGTAGCCCAGGTACTATACAATTCTTAAAGAGTCCATGAATATATAATTTCATGTATTGATCTTGAAGTATTGATTTGCAGATTTCTTTGAGATGGATATATGAGCAAGGTGTCAGTTTTGTGGTAAAGAGTTTTAACACAGAGAGGATGAAGCAAAACTTGGACATATTTGATTGGTCGTTGACCGAGGAAGAGTTGAACAAAATCAGCCAAATTCCGCAACGAAAACATGTTTATCTAATTGGTTCGTTGGTGACTGAGCCTAATGATGTAATGGCTGAGATTGATGCAGATCTTTCATTTCAATAAGTAGTTTTATCTTATATACAATCCTCAAAGTGTTGTGTATGGAAAAAAGCTGTGTATGGGTTGTATGGAAAAAAGCTGTGTATGGGTTACTTTCCATAATTGTGTTATGGAAAATTAATCATTTTAGCATGGCCTTATTTATGAAAAATGCATGGTCATTTTGATATAATCATATAACATATAAATGGGTGGTTGAACAATGGGTCAAAAAGAGTTTGGATCTATTTATTAAAAACAGGATATGAAGTGGTTTCAATAAGGTGATGTTTGGATCTATTTATTTAAAAAAAAAAAAAGATCATTTAGGGTGATGTTTGTTTTCTTCAAAAAGAGCTTCCTGATCTCTTTTGTCTGCGTTGCACTAACAACATGCAAATGTTTCCTCTTCTAGACTGTATGTTTTTTAGAAAACCGCAGACCTAAAAAAATATATGCGTCCTATTTTTGGAACAGACATGGACTCACCTCTTTTCAAGTCTACAAATGTTTTCTTGGTAAAATAAAAAATACATAATTTCAGTCATATTTTTACAAACTTTAAATGTTACTTTTTATGTACTTACAATTTTTAAAAATACATATACATCCTCCTAAAACATATCTTTTTTCGTACCGGTCCGGAACGATCTGTGCCAGTCTTTTCTCGGACCGGTCTTTTTGGGTCTTTTTGTTACCTCAGAATTATCTCCCTGGATAAAATAATTGAATTGATCACCAATGTTGAATAAGCCAATGTGGCTTAAGGAAAAAAAAATTATTAGCAACGTATCACTACAAGAAATACAGTCATTAGCGGTGACGCCAATAGCGGCGACACCTACTTTTAGCGGCGACACATCAAATTGTCGCCGCTAATGACTGTAGACACGGATCCGCGCTTTCATGTTCTGGTAAATTAAGACAGTTCGATCGTCTTTCTAATCCAACGGTGAGGATAATCAAGGAATGCACAAAAGCAATACCGGCAACAAAAGTCGCCGCTACTAACCGAGTCGCCGCTAATTGTCGAAAAAAATGGCGCGGTAATGTTTCCCTCCTAAGTGTCGCCGATATTGAGGGTAGTCGCCGCTAAAGCCAAAATTGTCGCTGGTAAAGGCGTTGCCGCTAAAGGTCGACACACTTAACCCCAAAAACGTCGATCTTTTCCCATTTTCTCTTCTGTTTCACTGCAAATCTCGTTTCTTTCTCTCGTTTGTGTCACTTCCTTCGTCACTTTCGTTGATTAGAGTGGGATATTGTCACATTTAGCAATTTTGGGTGAAGATACCATTGGTGGGCAAGGATTTTCCGGTGAGGACCAAGCTTTTTCCGGCGAGACCAAGGATTTTCCGGCGAAACCAAGCTTTTCCAGGTCAATTTCCGGTCCCTTTTCTCTTGTAACATTGATTTTCAGTTTATTGGAGTGGTTAATTGCAAAAAAATTTCAATTTCAGTTTTGTTGATTGTGTTCCCGACCACCACCCGCCACTACCGGACCACCACACGCCACCACAGGTTCTATTACTTCTATTTATTGTGACTGAGTGATAATTGTCATAATTAATGTAAGTCTATCTTCATGATTTAAAAGAAGGAAAGGGAAGCATGTTCTTCTTTATATAATAAGTTGAAAAAATGGCAAAATCATTCAAAGATTGTTGATGATTTGTATATCAATTTGAGAGCTCTAATTTCATCATTCTTGAATTGATTAGCTAGCTAGAAATTTTATTATTTATATCTTTTAAGTTTTTATAACCAACTGATAAAGATCATAGATATAAAAAAATAAAATAAAATAATAAGTATACTTGTAATCACAAATTGAAATATATATACGTACTAATTATGTAAACCAAACACAATTAAATCTTTCATTGATGTGACTAAAAGTGGTTAGGCACTAGACTGAATAAATATCCATGGCAGCAACATTAAATAACAAGAGAATCTTGAGTGAAATTTATAGAATTAATGATATAATTTGATTTTATTCATCCATTTATTTGATTACTTTTTTTTCCTTGATGTGCAATATTGCTCCAAACTCAATATCACATGTACTTGAATGCTTAAAAGTTTTTCAAACTCAATATCATTTGTGAAGGAAAATTTTCTTTCTTGATTTGACAATTAATTGTAAAATATTTTCAATTTCAGTTTTTGATTGACTTTTCTGGCCACCACCGGCGACTACCGCCACCACTGCATTATTTCTTTGATTTCCACAGCCACAGGTTATATTTACATCTATTTATTTTGAACATTAATAATTTTTGGTGTTACAAAGACTTAACCTTAATTGTTGTATATGTTGATTGAAATAACTTTTTTGTCCCAAGTGTAACAAATAGCAATGTACTTTGATTTTTTGTCTTAGTTTAAAAATAGCGATAAAATGCATGTTGATTTGGTCATCTTGGTTTTGTGGTGATTATTTGCTAAAAGCTTTGGTAATTGGGTTTTTGTCCCAAGTGCAAGAAATAGCAATGTACTTTGGTTATTTGGCTTAGTTTAAAAATAGAAATGTAGTTTTGCATCATAAAATGTAAGTTGATTTGGTCATTTTGGTTTTGTGGTGAGTTTTTGTCCCATGTGCAAGAAATAACAATGTACTTTGGTTTTTTGTCTTAGTTTAAAAATAGCAATGTACTTTGGCGTCATAAAATGCATGTGGATTTGGTAATTGTGTTTTCGTCCCAAGTGCAATAAATAACAATGTACTTTTGGTATATCTTGTATTTAAGTGCAAGAAATAGTAAGGTACTTTGGTAGTTTTTGTTTATGTTTGATAATTTAACTTATAATTTATATATGTTGTTATTTATTATGTAGTTGAAAAATCTTCGGGCATTGCTCAACGACCCAGCATGTAGGGAGGAACTTTATTCGTTTTTTCAATCACAGAATAACCAAGGAGGAAATGATGGGAATGAAGATGATGATATGTAGGGAGGAGCTTTATTTGTATGTTATACTTGTTGTCACACTTTGCTACTTGTTAGAATTGTAAAACTTACTTTGCTACTTGTTAGAATTGTCAAACTTATGGTTGTTTTATTTTGGTATTAAATTAGTTATAACAGTATTTGGTATTTAATTTGATGTTGTTATGTAATTTTTGGTATAGAATTAATTATAACAGTATTTGAAATTAATTATACCCAAAACCGCTAATATAAAAAAAAATGAAATCGTTATTACCGGCGACAGGGGCATTAGCGGCGACAAAAAGTATTACCGGCGACAGGCGCATTAGCGGCGACATTTGTCTTTAGCGGCAACAATCTGATCAATAGCGACAAAGTAGTAGCGGCAACTCTTTACCGGCGACGTGTCGCCGCTATTAGCTTTAGCGGCGACTTCTCAACCCTTTACCGGCGACTTTTTTCGCCGCTAATTGCTCATTTCCTTGTAGTGCGTATATATTACCACAAGTAATAGAAGATTTACCACTAGAGCACATAATTAAGGAGCAAAACTTTAAAAGGACATTATGCTTTTTATAAAGATTTGGACATATGACTAGTGAGATCAATTCCAAAAAGACAGATGATCACTGGGCAAGTTACACAGAACATGCAATGTACTTGCACTTATCCTAAATTTATAACACAATAATATCACAAGAAATTAAATTCTATGTCAAAATGTACCTGCTACTCTGCTAATCGCATTTTATAGCTGCGTAAAGGTAACGAACGAAGAGCAACGAGGCATTGAAACCCACACTTCCAAGTAACAAAAATATTCCCAAGCATACACAAGCCATATATCCAAAGAAAAAGGACGTCTGCATGAAACCATTCATGTTTGATCTCTCGAAATAAGAATAGATGCAATAAAAATATATATACAATCCAGTAGATCCACCACACAAAAGTGACCTGTGTCAAATAAAAAACTCTTATTAGCTCTAATCCCATATAGAAATCCAAGACCACTATCCAAACAACTATTTACCGTACCTCCACCACCATTGATGATCTTCAACCACAAGCTGGAAGTATGTCAGTGCCACAGAAACTAAAGCAGTCATGATCAGAAGAAGAAAGAAGACTATGGACATAATGCTATAAACTGTATAAAAGCGATGTCCCCAAACACTTGCCAATACGTAGTACAACTGAATATATACGACACTGAAAGGCAAAATTCCTGCCAAAGCCATCTGAGGAAGAACACCCCTATACCAACGCAGCTTAGGAATATCTCTAGGAATTTTAGCAGTTTTGCAGGAAGCTTGGAATTCAGACATTCTGGATTTCCCAATAATGCCTCCTAAAAAAAGCAATGGTGATGCTATGAATATCAACAAGAGAGATAGCATGACTATTGCTCTCAATGGTAATGTAGTAGTTGATCCATAAAAAATGGCAACAATGTCTAGGAAAGTAAATGTTAGAAATAGAGGCCCAAAATATAATCCTCCTGCCAGTATTAGGTTCTTGATCTATCAAGTAGAAAACAAGAGAGCTAATCAGTATCGACCTTTTTGTTGGAATCTTAAGTCATCATCTCCTACTCCACCCATGTCTTCCACTCCTAAAAAGGCTATCAAATTCTGGAACAAAGTAAGGGACACCAACAAGTGGTTGGGTCTCATACTTATTAATATAGGATTGAAATGATTAAGTTCATCTTATATATTCAGTGAATTACCAAGACGGTAACACACCAAAAAAACACATCAACATACATAGACATATACACATATATATGTAATTGGTTTTTGAGTTATATTTCCAATCAATCAAAGAGTTATTTTGATATATATATTTGTCTGTGTCTATACAATTGTTTTATACTAGAATTGGTATCAGAGCTCAAGAACAGGGGCTTTGAATTCATACCTGGTGATCAAGAAGGACACCAGTAAAAGAAGATGTCAGATGTCGATGATACTAGAGGTGCTACTCCTCAGGTGAGGGAGAAGTTGATCGGTTCATCCAATGTCACATGTCCGATGCTCACACCCACAAATTACACTGTATGGGCGATGAGAATGAAGGTTGTGCTTCGAATCCACAAGGTGTGGATCGTGATCGATCCAGGAACCGACCAAAATGAAGAAAAAGATTGCTTAGCCATGGGACTGCTATATCAATCCTTGCCAGAAAACCTGATAATGCAAACCGGTGAACAAGAATCAGCAAAGAAACTCTGGGATGCAATTAAATCAAGAAACGTGGGGGCTGAAAGAGTGAAAGAAGCAAGGCTACAAACCTTAATGACGGATTTTGATCGGCTCAAGATGACAGAGTCTGAATCGATAGATTCCTACGCCGGAAAGTTGTCCGGTATCGCCTCCAAATCAGCGGCCCTCGGAGAAACGATAGACGAGTCTAAACTCGTCAAGAAGTTCTTGAAAACACTGCCACGATCGAAGTTTATTCAGATCATCGCCTCGTTGGAGCAGGTACTCGATCTGAAGACGATCAGATTTGAGGATGTTGTAGGTCGACTAAAGGCGTACGAAGAAAGGATAAGAGAAGATGATGGCGGAAACGAGCAGAGGGTTATGTTCACTCGAAGTGGTGAAGGTTCAAACCACGGTGGTGGCTGGAGCGGTGGAGGTGGTTCTGGTTCAGGGGGATCGTCGGGAGGGAAGAAGGAGTCGAATAAGGGAAGAAATGGGGGTTCGGGGGGTTTTAATCGAACCGGGTCAGGTGGATCCGGTGGAGTCGGGTCTTCAAACGGATCTGGGTCAAAATCAACCCAACCCAATAATAAGCCCAAACAGCCCAATAACCGGCCCAATTCCAATTCGGACTCAAACCGAAACCCGAAAAAAGATCTGTCAAAAATTATTTGTTACAGATGCGCTAAATCGGGCCATTACGCATCCAAATGTCCGGACCGAACCCAAAAATTCCAAGAAAGTAATTTTACTGAACACGACGATACCGATGAAACAGTATTTCTACACGAGTCCGTATTTTTGAACGAAGAGAAGGTGATACCGTCTCGATACAACTCACAAGAAAACGATGTGTGGTATTTGGACAACGGGGCAAGTAATCACATGACGGGAAATCGTTCATTTTTCTCCGAACTCGACAAAGGAATAACCGGAAAGGTCAAATTCGGTGATAATTCGTGTGTCGAAATAAAAGGGAAAGGCTCAATTGTTTTCCAAGGAAAATCGGGGCAACAACGATTGATAACGGAGATTTATTTCATTCCAGATTTGAAAAATAATATTTTCAGTCTCGGACAAGCAACAGAAGCCGGGTGTGATATTCGGATGAAAGACAACTATTTAACGATGCATGATGCCGACAACTGCTTATTAATGAAGGTACAAAGAACTCCAAATCGCCTTTATAAAATACAGTTGCCTATTGGAGTACCTATTTGCCTTCATACAAGACTGAGTGAAGACACGTGGCGCTGGCATGCAAGACTTGGACACATCAATTTCGAGTCAATGAAAAAGATGTCCAAGAAAGGTCTAGTCAAAGGGTTACCCCATTTTGACTGTGAAAATCAATTGTGTGAATCTTGTTTGGTGGGCAAGCAAACAAGAAAGTCATTTCCATTAATGACGACGTACAAAGCAACACGGCCATTGGAGCTAGTTCACGGTGATTTATGTGGTCCGATAACACCGTCAACGAAGGGTCAAAATCGATACATTTTCACACTAATTGACGATTTTTCACGGTATATGTGGATTTTTCTCTTAAAAGAGAAAAATGAGGCGTTTTTTCACTTCAAAAAATTTAAAGCTTTGGCGGAGAATGAGCTCGGAAAGTCTTTAAAGGTGTTTCGAAGTGATCGAGGAGGTGAGTTTACTTCGCTCGAGTTTAATTCCTTTTGTGATATGAATGGAATCAAACGCCATCTTACCGCCCGATATTCACCACAACAAAACGGTATTGTGGAACGAAGAAACAGAACACTTATGGACATGACACGAAGTATCATGAAGGCGATGCATGTTCCAAACTATCTATGGGGAGAAGCGGTAAAACATTCCACAAACCTGGTCAACCGTGTTTACACAAGAGTACTTGGTGATACAACTCCGTACGAGAAGTTGTATAAAAGAAAACCTAATTTGGAGAACGTACGCATCTTTGGGTGTTTAGCGTATGCAAAAGTTGAACCGGTAAACGTGAAAAAATTGGATGCAAGATCAAGACCATTGGTTCATCTTGGTTCTGAACCGGGTACAAAAGCCTATCGGTTATTTAACCCGGTTACACAAAAAATAATCATAAGTCGAGACGTTATTTTTAATGAAACCAAAGGATGGAATTGGGTTAACAAAGCTACACCTGACAATGAAGAACCAGGATCATTCATAGTACCATGGGATTTACCGGAAGATAAGGCAAACAACAACCAAGGAAACGAAGTAAACAACGAACCAAACGAATCGGATCACAAGATTGAAGACGGAGTGGAGGTACAAGAAAATGAGCAACCAAGTCCGATCAACAACAACGTGAACAATGTTCAAAACCAAAGGCCCACAAGACAAAAGGTGCTTCCAATTCGATTACGAGATTATGTACTTTATGTTGATGAAATTGAAGAACTTCTCCTAGCAACCAATGACGAGCCGGTATCGGTTGAAGAGGCGAAGAAAGAACCAGAGTGGGTCAAAGCCATGAATACAGAGATCAATTCAATCAACAAGAACAATACTTGGTCTCTCGTAAACAAACCTATGGGGGTGAAGCCCATTGGACTCAAATGGGTGTTCAAGCTGAAGAAAAATGCAGATGGCACCATAAACAAACACAAGGCGAGGTTGGTTGCTAAAGGGTACGTACAACAACCTGGTATTGACTTTCAAGAAGTATTTGCTCCGGTAGCTCGCATCGAAACCATACGGTTTCTCATTGCCTTAGCCGCTACCAATGGATGGGAGCTTCACCACTTGGATGTCAAGACGGCTTTCTTACATGGAGAGTTGAAAGAAACCGTCTATGTGTATCAACCGGAAGGCTACATAAGGAAAGGCGACGAACACAAGGTGTACCGTCTTTCAAAAGCACTATATGGTCTTAGACAAGCACCGAGAGCATGGCATACAAAACTTGATGGGATTTTGAAAGGAATGAAATTTCATAAGTGCATGAAAGAACCATCGGTGTACCGGAAGAACGAAGGATCCAACTTGCTAATTTTAGCAATCTATGTTGATGATTTGTTTGTCACAGGTACAAATTTGAGCATGATCAAAAGGTTCAAATTTGAAATGTCCAAGAACTTCGAGATGTCTGATCTTGGAAGATTAACTTACTACCTGGGCATTGAAGTCAAACAAGAAGAATCAGGGATTACTATTAACCAAGAAGCGTATGCTAGACGCATTCTAAAAGAAGCCGGTTTACACGATTGCAATCCGACCCACATTCCCATGGATCCAGGAACCAAAATGTCGAAGGCCGAAGATGAACCCGAAATCGACCCGACACAATACCGAAAGTTGGTAGGATGCCTTAGATATCTCTTGCAGACAAGACCCGATATGGCATATGCGGTTGGAGTTGTTAGTCGATACATGCAAGATCCAAGAGAATCACATGGTGTTGCAATCAAACACATCCTAAGGTACTTACGTGGAACAACGTCACATGAAATCAAGTACGAGAGGATGGGGCAAAACCGGATCATTGGTTACAGCGATAGTAGTCACAATGTCGACCCGGACGACGGAAGAAGCACAACCGGTCACATTTTCTACTATGGATTGTCTCCAATAACATGGTGTTCTCAAAAGCAAGATACTGTTGCTTTATCATCTTGCGAGGCGGAGTTCATGGCTGCAACTGCGGCTGCATGTCAAGCAATATGGCTTCAAGATTTGCTAGGCGAAATCATGAACAAAGCACAAGAGAAGGTGGTCCTAAGAGTTGATAACAAGTCAGCTATCGAACTCACGAAGAATCCTGTTTTTCACGGAAGAAGCAAACACATTCACACGAGGTTTCACTTCATTCGTAAGTGTGTTGAAAAGGAACAAGTGGAGGTGAAGTACATTCCAGGTGAAGAACAAAAGGCAGACATTCTCACAAAACCATTGGCTCGAACCAAGTTCAAGACAATGTGGGACTTGATCGGGATCGAAGACATCTTTAGAAGGACTTAAAGATTGGCGTTGATCGGGAATCTCTAGAAGGACTTAGAGATTCGGGGGTGATTGTTGGAATCTTAAGTCATCATCTCCTACTCCCACCCATGTCTTCCACTCCTAAAAAGGCTATCAAATTCTGGAACAAAGTAAGGGACACCAACAAGTGGTTGGGTCTCATACTTATTAATATAGGATTGAAATGATTAAGTTCATCTTATATATTCAGTGAATTACCAAGACGGTAACACACCAAAAAAACACAGCAACATACATAGACATATACACATATATATGTAATTGGTTTTTGAGTTATATTTCCAATCAATCAAAGAGTTATTTTGATATATATATTTGTCTGTGTCTATACAATTGTTTTATACTAGACTTTTTATGTAAGTAAAAATCACTCAAAAGTATATAAGTTTCAAACTAAATTTTGATATTTTCACATACCCAGTTTGTTCCTTCGAGTTGACAATAGGAAACAGAAGAGTATCCTGAGACCAAAGATGTAAGTGCATATACAATGATAAGTGCGTTCCAGAGTACTCCTCGCAGATAGGGCTGAAAAAAACCTACGACCCCAAGACCAAGAATTGCTAAGCTCCTGTAAATCCAACGAAAGAAAGGGTACAAAAGTAATTTCAGATACATGACCAAAAAGTCAAATATATAAAAACAACAAAATAAAGGGATGATGACAAAATGACAAAAATGTTATAACTCCTTGAACAAAATGTCCACCAATTTCCAAACACGTCTCGTTACCAAGTTTCTTTTTGAATGGTCCCCACCACAAATATCTTCAAAATGAAAAAAAATTATAATTTTCGAAAAAATATATAATTCTCAAATATGTGTCACGTTATTTGGAGGTACTAACAATATAAGCAACTGACTTCCAGCACCAAGAGCCGCAGCAAATAAAGACTTGTGTTGTGGGAATCTAAATACATCACCATGAACATTCTTCCACCCTATCTCTTCTTGCTTATTATAACTCAATATATCCTCTTCCACATCAGCTAAGTTCCTTTCATTTTTCATGCATTGGGAAAACAACAAAGGCAACACAAGAGTTTTATGAGATGGAAACACAAACTTAGATTATTATTATTATTATTTTTTTGTTAATAGAGTCAATACCTAGAAATGTCTTTGCGAAGGACAAGTAAGTAAAATGTCAGTAGGGAAATGATTAGAATGAGGAGAGTGACACTTGAGAATGTAACTGAGTGATGATGTATAGACATATGGTTTTGTGCAATCGAAGAACTAATGTATTTATCTATTCTCGTATCAAATGATAGTTGTGTTTGGCGCCACATAACAGAGTATGTGAAGCCCACATCAACTTCCTTGTCTTCTGTTACATCTGTGAATGAATCCCTACGCACTCGGACACTGACTTCAATAACATAATCCTTGTTATAAAGAACCTCGAAATCAAAGTGGTTAAAAAGGAAATACTTGGTCTTGATCTTTTCATCGATATCATCCTTTTTGAACTTTCCAATAAAAGCCCACATTGGCAAGTCATCATAAGACAATTGCATATAGTAATCCTTTTCTATTGCCCTTCTGAACTGAGAAACTTCTGTTTTACTCAGTGTCTTATTGCATAATAATTCAAAATGCTTTTCCACAAGAAATTCAAGCTTATATGGAGTTGAAACAAGATGGTCTCCATTCAACATCTCCCCTAGATTAAGTTTCTTCTCTTTCACAATATCTTTTATTAGATAAACAATATATGAATTAGAAGTTTTTAGTAAGATGTAAAGATAACAAAAGGAAGACCAACATATGCAATAAAGAAGTACCTTCAGAACAAAAGGGAAGATCATAATAAGCATATGTTTCCCTGGAAACAAATTAAACAAGAATTAGTTAAAAAAATAAAAAATAAAAACTTTGGAGGAGATATGACTAACCGAGGATTAGAGAATGGGCCAACTTTGTTGGCATACAAGGGGACAATATCTCCATCTTTGTAGTGATGATTAGAGGCATCTGATTCTACTTGGTTTCCATGGTAGATCATTAGAAGAGTGAAAAAAGCGATTTTTGATAGCAGTGTCATCCCTGTTGTCGAAGTAATTCAATGGCTGACCTAACTCGTTCCAGATTGGATATTAAAATGCTCAGTCAACCCCTGTTTTTCAAAGCAATGGAGTACTCGATAAATGAATCTAAGTGTTGTGAGTACTACATTCTAATAATAAACAAAAACCAAGATCCAAAGTGAATCGAAGTATCAAGATATGAACAATCAGACACTAAGTAATTATCGGAAAACCATTGCAATTGTGATTGCAATCACCGGAGCGTTAAGATTGACAATAGAATCAAACACAAAACTATAGCTGTCAGTTAAAGGTTAAGAAAGAAGATGGGTGACAGAGAAAGAGAGGACCTTGTGCAGTTAGCGAGGAGGTTGCCTTGATCGAGAAGGTCTTCGCTGCTTGGAACCAGAAGTAGTGTTGGGGTTGGAGAGATGAGTTTGACTTTGACTTTGCTGGCCGTTAAATGCACTATTCTGGTATGCGCCTTTCTCATTTTTTTTTGTTAATGTAATCTTAATAGTAATTACCAAAATGGGAAAATGATTTTTAATAAACAGTTATTTTTTATTTATTTAATTATTTTTATATAATTTACTACTCCCACCTTCCCAAAATTATAGTCTATCTTTCCTTTTTTTGTTTGTCCCAAAATAATAGTCCATTTTTAAAAATAAATAACATTTTTACCAAAATACACACTCATTATTACTTAACCAACTAAGTATTTAATGGAACATTAAATGCAAAGTAAGGACAAAACTATCATTTTATTGTATAAAGTTAGTGATAATTAATGTTTTCTTAATCTGTATGTTTTTTGTCTGTGGACAATAATTTTGGGACGGAGGGAGTATTAAAATCACTCAGGTTATTCAAAACGTATTATTTTGACTGAGTATTACATGTTAATGTTTTTTAGTACAAGATTTACCATTGATCTAAGGAAATTTGACTTATTAAGGTAACCAAGTATTCGGTATGTTCATATATGGGTAATATTGTTTATTTTTGTACTCATTTACCTAACTAACTTTTTTCAGCTGTTCACAAATAACCAACATTACCGGCTATTACTTGTTTTAGCCGGTTGCATCGACTTAGCTCAGTTAAAACGCATTACGTGGAATCTTACGTGGCTATTACACCCCTTTCTCATTTAATTAGGGTTCATCATCATCAGTTTGGGACAAGCTCCAAAAACAGACCCCGATTACCTTCTTCTGTGAGAAATCAATCGATACATCAAATCGACGATTAGGGTTTGGAATTGAAGGTACGAGTTGAAGTCGACTGTTCACATGGCATCCTCATCTATATGTATGTATGTAGCTCTAGATTTTCATTACAAGGGAATGTTTTTTGCCAAACCCGTTGGTCTACTTAGACCCCGTAAAAACAAATGCACGTAATGTGGATTTTATGGGATTTACTTATAAAGAGTTTCTTTTGTGGCTTACGAAATTAACCAAAGGAGCCTGTGATAATGTCTACTACTGTATTAGAAAGGAAAGCTTGGGTGAGGGTATTAGAAGAATCGACATTGATGCAGATTATTGGGAGTTTGTGGAAACTGTTTATAGTCTTGAGAGTGAGTTAGATGTGTACATTGACCACCGAAATCAACCAATTCTTGATTGGGCTGATAACGAGTTGTTAGTAGATGGTAAAGGGTATGAGTCGGATGAGTTGGATGAAGAGGATGACAAGGATTCTGAACTTTCAAAGACAATGGAATATGAACATGAATGTGATGAAGAGATCCGTACTTTTGATAAAACTGTTGGAGACCCATTCTTGGACAAACTTTCAGGACATATAAGTGATGATGAAGAGGAAGCAAACAATGGAAAAGATAAGGATGTTGTGTTCTCGGTCCATAATGAGAATCAAGAATAGGAGCAAATTGTGCCAGTATTGGGTATGAAGTTTTCTAACCCATTGGAATTGAAGTTGTGTGTCACAAACTATGCAGTCAAAAATGGATATGATTTATGGTATGAAAAAAGTGATGATCAAAGGTTATTGGTAAAATGTTGTATAAGTAAGACAAATAAGCATAATAAAGGTTGTCCCTTTAGGTTGTGGTCAACCTGGATGACCAGTGAAAAATCATTCCAGACTAAATCTCTAAATGATAGGCATAATTGTGCAAGATTGTTCAAATTTGGGTCCATTGTTACCTATAAATGGATAGGAAATCATTTCATGAATCAGATACTTCAGAAACCAAAGATGAGTATAAGTAAGTTAAAAGCTAAAGTCAGCAAGAAATTTAATTTGATTGCAAGTGTTAGACAATGCATAAATGCATGGAAGTATGCATTTCAGGAGATAAAGGGTTCTTTTAAAGAACATTATGCGAAAACATGGAGCTATGGAGAAGAGATAAAAAGGACTAACCCTGGATCAACACTGAAGATGGATGTAGATGTCATGCCTGATGGAACCACTTATTTCTCAAAGCCTTATGTATGTTTCAAGGGATTGAAGGATGGATGGATTGAAGGTTGTAGGAGGGTAATTGGACTAGATGGTTGCTTCCTAAAGGGTATATGTAGAGGTCAGTTGCTTTCTGCTATAGGTAGAGATGCAAACAACCATATATATCCTATTGCTTGGGCTGTTGTATCAGTGGAAAGTAAAGAAACATGGAAGTGGTTTATTGACCTTCTAATTGAGGACATTGGAATGGGAGTTAGGCATGGACTAACCTTAATATCAGACCACCACAAAGTAATCAATTTCTATTTTTTCCATCTTTATTTGAGCTTATGTGTTTTTTCTATTGTTTATGTTTTGTGTCTATTTCTAACAGGGATTACTTGAGGTTGTGAAGGAAAGGGTTCTAGTAGCAGAGCATAGGCAATGTGCTAGGCACATATGTGCTAACTTCATGAAAAGGTTTAAAGGCCAACTGTTTAGAGATTTAATTTGGTTTCACCATGTAATGCCTTCTTCCATCGTTCCTCCCTTCATCCTCATCCAACCATTGCCAAAATTTTCAGTTTCGACTTTTTCCATTCTTCAAGAAATTTATAAAAACAGGTGAAATTGAAGGATTATGAAGAAGAAGTAAAAAAATTTCAAAAAAAAATTTGATTTACCTGTGAGTTATGACAAACTATGAATTTCCTTCCGGGATTGTCGGGGGTTCTTGATGTCTTCACACGAGATGGCAAGTCGCAATCACATGGATGATCCGGTTGCAATTCGTCTTGTCGTTTGGAAGAAAAAGATGAGGAAAAAGATGTCATCGATCGATCTAGGGTTTTATTTAATAAGAAGTCGTATCTCACCCTTCTTATAATGTAAACCATGACAAATACATACAATGCCACTTAGGTGATGAGTATTACAACGTACAAGCCACATAGATGCCACATCAGCCAAAACCTACGTTAGCAGGTAATGTTGGTTATTTGTGGACAGCTGAAACAAGTTAGTTGGGTAAATGAGTACAAAAAAACAATATTACCCATATGTGAACATACCAAATACTTAGTTACCTTAATACGTCAAATTCCCTTGATCTAAATGGCGAAGTTGTTAAAGCAAAGCTTTGGCATGAAGCAAAGTCTTGGCCACGGTTAGACAGCTATGAGGTGATGCTTAATGAAAACAAAGCTGCTAAAAAGGCGAAGCTACAAGAGCGAAATCATCAATTAAGCTTCACCTTTGGTGTATATCATTCTTTGGTCCTTACTCCTTATTGATGGGGAAGCACACTCTGACTTGGAGCTTCGGGTTGACCAGAAAAGTTGGAGAGAAAGTCTGCCATCTTAGGCTAGCCTATGTTTTGTAATTAATATCCCGTGTTATTTATTTATTTATTTACTATATTTTAGAAATCAAGAATTTTAATTAATTAATTAATTAATTAATTAATTAATAATAATAATAATAATAATAATAATAATAATATTTAAAAGGGAATTAAATAAACAGGGTTGTCTCCAAGAAATACACATTAACCACTAGTAGAGTTTCTAGTAGTGGGGCACCCCCCCTAATCTGCATCAGAGTATGCAATGAGGTCCGTTGTGGACGAGGGATGGAGTTGGAGCCCATAATCAAGAGTACCACGAACATAACGAAGAATGCGCTTTAAAGCGTGAAAGTGTGGTTCTCGCGGATCCTGCATGAATAAACAAATTTGATGCACAACATATGAGTAAGTCTGGTAGGGTGAATGTGAGATATTGAAGACCGCCCGCCAGCCTTCGATAGAGCCTGGGGTCAAAAAATAGAGAGCATGTGTTGTCCATTTTAGACTGAGTGTCAGCAGGAGTTCGGCATGGGTTGTACTTTGACATATTTGCCCTGTCAAGAAGCTCTAGCGCATATTGTCGTTGAGAAAGAAATATGCTCTTGTTGTCTCGAGTGGCAGCAATACCCGGAAAGTATGATAAATCACCCAAATCCTTCATGGAAAAATCAGAGGGCATGAGGGAGATGATACATTGTAATAGAGCTATCGATGATGTTTGAGAAGGACGTCGTCTACATAGAGAAATAAATATGCCACATTAGTGCCCCTGCAAAAAATAAATAGTGAAGACTTGCAGCGAGTGTGAGTAAATCCAATATGTGTGATGTAGGTGACAAATCGTTAAAACCAAGCACGATGGGCTTATTTCAAACCATGGAGAGACTTCTAAAGACGACATAGATAATCTGGGTGATTTGGGTCTCTGAAACCGGGGGGTAGTGCATGTAAACAGTTTCATTTAAGTGGCCGTGAAGAAATGTATTCTTTGCATCAGATGAATGGGCCCGTTACGAGAAACTTCTAGACTCAAAACGATCCATATAGATGTTACTTTAACAACCGGGTTGAAGATCTCGTCACAATCAAGCATGGGTCGTTATCTTTTTCCATTTGCAACTAAGCGCTCAAGAGATCCATCCGCCATGTATTTCTTTTGGTATAACCACATAGGACGCACAATATTTTCCTCAGGAGGACGGGGGACAAGAACCCAAGTGCTATTAGTAATAAGAGAATTAAATTCATCCTTCATGGAAATAGTCCAACTAGGGTCTTGGAGAGCTTAAAGGTTATATTTAGGCATAGGTGATTCGGTGGTAGTGTGAAGGTTAAGGCGTTGAGTAGGTTTGGAAAATACCTACCTGAGATCGAGTGACCATGGGGCGAGGAGAGGGATGAATGATGGAATTTTAAGGTTAAGATTGAGTATCGAGAGGGGAGAATGGATCGGAAGGATTAGAGGTTTCATTTTTGGGAGAACTAAGAGGAGTAGGAGTAGTGTTTTCAGTCTTGGTTTGAGGAGGGGAAGAGAGATTGGGTTCGTTTTGAAGGAGGGCCGGACACAAAGAAATAACGAGAGGTGGGAGAGACAGAACATGGATCATCAAGAAAGGTATGCGGAGGTGGGTTTTCGGGAGTCATGGAATAAAAGGGAAAGACGTTTTTGTT